TGAATACTTTTGGGAGAGGAAAACCTCACTGAGGTGCCTCTTCTGTAACAGGAATTCTGAAAGTGATTGAAAAACTATGCTGGGTGTCTAGGTTCTCTTAAATCTCCATAAAGGCAAAAAACTATTAAAGGCATCATATTTCTAAGTTCCCATATTTTTACAATGTAATTTTTTAAAAACCAAGAAAGCATTCAATAAGAAAGTTAAATGCCATTTTTAAATACGGAAGCTAGCCTTAGGTTGCAAAATAAATTGGTTTTTGTTGTTGTTAATGTTCTGCTAGAAAACCTGGATTTCTTGCAAGTACATCTCTATGGCTTTTCAAGGAGATGTATTGATGGGGAAAGAATATTCTCATTATTAATTTTTTTGTCTTACAGGTAACATATTTACATATTTGCTTCTTTCAACTTGCCTCTTTATACAAGGGAACATCTATGCAGCTTGAGTAATTTTTTTGTCTGGTTGTGTGACATTCTCAAGTGACCCCTTTCCAGGGTCCATGGAAAATTTAGTGGTAATGTGAATGAGAACTTCTTGGACTGGTTATAAAAACAAAACAAAACAAAACTTCAAATTTCAACAGAAAAATACCAATAGGCAATAAGAAAATATACTCTCTCTGAGTAGGCTCATATGTTTGAGAAGATTCTACTGTATTCCTACTTTTGTTTTTCTCAGTCTCACAACTGTCACAGCTATCAGTCACTCCAATTGCCTGTCACATGTGGAAGGTTTGAGGTTCTAATCAGATCTAATTCAGGTGATTGGGTCCCCTATTACTGTGTTTAAGCAGCTTAATGATTTGAAGGATTTAAGTAATATACCCTGAACTAATTTAATTCGCATTTGATTTTGAATTGTTTTTTTTTTTTTTTCACTGGAACAATAGTACGGAAGTCAGAATTACATAACTAGAATAATTTCAGGGGTCCATTTCATTTCCAGAGTAGAGCTTAAGCAATTAATTATTTTTTGATTGGTGGCTGGGGTGTGTGGGGGGTGAGGGGTGAGTGTTGGAGTGGGTTGGGTAAAATTCCCAAAGAAAGACAATTTGTGTTTTATCTAGATTACTTTTCTCTGAGTATTTCTCATGGTTATTGATAACAGCCATGTGAATCCTATTTCAATATTCTACCAACCATATAATACACACTAATTTATGTATTCATTCATTAATTTATTTTTTTCATTCAATGACTATCAAGCTACATTCTGGGACTCATGCTGGACACAAGAAATACAAAAATGCTTAAGATTGAGTCTATGTTTTTATGGAGGTTATTAGCGGGTAGTGAGATATTTCAAAATCAATATTTAAAAATGTTAAAAATATAAATTTTATTCTCTGTGATGTGTCATAGATTTATTTGACAATATTATAATTAGACATGGTTTCATGATGTTTTTCCTGGCTGTCTTTAGACTCTTATTTCTTATCACTCAGCCTTACTTTTTATGTTATATGAATATTAAACAGATTTAGCTCTTCAAAATTCCTCATGTTGTACCCTTTGCATAATGTTTTTTTTCCCTTCATTCTGTTCATCATAATCATTTTTGACACAGTCAATAAATTAAGCAGGTACGTCATTTAATTTTATTAATGGTGACACTTGAGAGTTGTATGTTTTTTCTTCTATTTTTTAAAATATTTAAAATACACTCTGGGAACAATCCCTTGACAAATATTATTAAAAGTTTATTTAAGAGTTTGATTTTTAATTTATATTTTAGGAGGTAGGAAATAAATAGACAATATAATTTATACATCCAAAAATACCCACAGAAGTGTTAAGTCATAAATTAATTATGTAAAAAGGTGAATGTCTTATCAGGATTTTAGAGTTATTTATATTTTTGTCTTGCTGTGGAGGATAAGTTAATATTTTAAACTGTCTAGATCATGGTTTGTGTGCATTTGTAGTTGCTGTTTTGTGATTTTTATTTTTTTCAACTTTATTGCACTGTAACTGACAAAATTATAAGATAGTTAAAGTGCACAATGTGATGATTTGGTACACATAGTCATTATGAAAGGATTCCCCCCCAGTGAGTTAATACATTAATCACCAAACTTCGTGTGTGTGAACATTTAAGTAAGTTCTACTCTTAAGCAAATTTCAGTTGTACAATACAGTGTTATCAAGTATAGTTGCCAGGTTATACATTAAGTACTCAGCCCTTCTTCATCTTAGTGCTTAAAGTTTGTACCTTTTTAGCAACCTCTCCCTATTTTTTTTGTCCCCAAGCCCCTGGCAACCACTTTTCTACTCTGTGAGGCCGGCCTCCCTCCCACCGTCTCACTCCCTCCCTCCGTCCCTTTCTTTTTTTTTTTTTAATGATTTTTTTCTTTTTCTCTTCTCTTCTCTTCTCTTCTCTTCTCTTCTCTTCTCTTCTCTTCTTTTTGCTTTTTATTTTAATTCCAGTTAGTTAACATAGTGTTATATTAGTTTCAGGTGTACAATATAGTGCTTCAACAATTCCATACATCATCCCTGGTGCTCATCACAAAAAAATGCACTCCTTAATCCCCATCACCTATTTAACCCATTAACTCACTCCCACCCCTCTGGTAACCATCCATTTGTTCTCTATAATTATGAATATTTTTCTTGGTTTCTCTCCCTTTTGCCTTCGCATTTTTGTTTTGTTTCTTAAATTCCACATACGAGTGAAATCATGTCTTTTTCTGATGATTTATTTTGCTTAGAATTATGATCTAGCTCCATCCATATCATTGCAAATGGCAAGATTTTGGTCTCTTTGGTTGAAAAATATTCCAGTGTGTGTGTGTGTGTGTGTGTGTATCCCATCTTTATCCATTCATCATTTGATGGACAGTTGGGTTGCTACCATATCTGGGCTACTGTAAATAATGCTGCTGTAAACATAGAACTGAATGTATCCCTTTGAATTAGTGTTTTTGTGTTCTTTAGGTAAATACCCAGTAGTGTGATTGCTGGTACATAGGGTAGTTCTATATTTAACTTTTTGAGGAAACTCCATACTGTTTTCCACAGTGGCTGCACCAGTTTGCCTTCATACCAACAGTGCAAGAAGGGTCCTTTTTCTCCTTTTTCTCCACAGCCTCATAAGCACCTGTTATTTCTTGTATTGTTGATTTTAGCCATTCTGACAGGTGTGAGGTAATATCTCATTATAGCTTTGATTTGCATTTCCATGATGGTAAGTGGTGATGAACATCTTTTCATATGTCTGTTGGCCATCTGTTATCTTTGGAGAAATATCTGTTTCTGTCTTCGGTCCATATTTTAATTAGATTATTTGTTTTTTGGGTGTTGAGCTGTATAAGTTCTTTATATAATTTGGAGACTAACACTTTATTGGATATGTCATTTGCAAATATCTTCTCCCATTCCATAGGTTGCCTTTTAGTTTTGTTGATTGTTTCCTTTGCTGTGCAGAAGCTTTTTCTTTGAATATTGTCCCAATAATTTGTTTTTGGTTTTGTTTCCCTTACCTCAGGAGACATATCTAGAAAAAAGTTGCTATGGGCAATAAGAGATTCCTACCTGTGTCCTCTTCTAGGATTTTTATGATTTCAGGTCTTACATTTAGGTCTCTAATCCTTTTGAATTTATTTTTGGGTATGGTGTAAGAAAGTGGTCCAGTTTTTTTTTTTTTCTTTTGCATGTTGCTGTTCAGTTTTCTCAATACCATTTGTTGAAGAGACTGTCCCTTTCCCATTGGATAATCTTTCCTGCTTTGTGAACTATTAATTGACCATATAATTGTGGATTTATTTCTGGGTTTTATATTCTGTTCTATTGATCTATGTGTCTATTTTTGTGCCAGTGCCATACTGTTTAGAGTGCTACAGCTTTGTACTATAACTTGAAGTCTGGAATTGTGATGCCTCCAGCTTTGCTTTTCTTTTTCAAGATTGCTTTGACTATTCAGGGTCTTTTCTGGTATCAAACAAATTTTAGAATTGTTTGTTGTGGTTCTGTGAAAAATTCTGTTGGTATTTTGATGGGATTGCATGAAATGTGTAGATTGCTTGGGTAGTATAGACATTTTAACAATATTTTTTCAATCCAGGAACATAGAGTTTCTTTCCATTTCTGTGTCATCTTCCATTTCTTTCATCAATGTTTTATGGTTTTAGAGGACAAGTCTTTCACCTCTTTGGTTAATTCATTCCTGCGTATCTTATTTTTGGTGAAATTGTAAATGGGATTGTTTTATTAGTTTCTCTTTCTGCTCCTTTATTATTGGTGTATAGAAATGCAACAGATTTCTGTACATCGATTTTGTATCCTGAGACTTTACTGAACTTGTTTATCAGTTCTAGTAGTTTTTTTGGTCAAGTCTTTTAGGTTTTCTAGATATAATATCATGTCATCTGCAAATAGTGACAGTTTTACTTCTTCCTTACCAATTTGGATGCCTTTAATTTCTTTTTATTGTCTGATTTCTGTGACTAGGACTTCCAGTACTATGTAGAATAAAAGTGGTAAGAGTGGCTATCCTTGTCTCTTTCCTGACCTTGGGGGGAAGTTTTCAGTTTTTTCCGACTGAGGATGATGTTACTTGTACATTTTTCATATATGGCCTTTATTATATTGAGATATGTTCTCTCTAAACCTACTTTGTTGAGGGTTTTTATCTTTTTTTCTTTTGGTCTAAATGTTTTTATTTGAAACAAATAGTTGCACCAAGCAAGAGCTTACTTTCCCCACTCCAAACTAAAACAGAGCGCAATAGGGGCAAACGTTATTTGGCAGGACAGTTCCAGTATGTGAACATCCTTCTACTCCCTGTGGTTGGGGCAACTTTATTCATCAGCAGTCATTCTTACACAAAACGTTAACCCCAAAGTACTAATGTCACATAAAAGGAGGTGGTCTTAGTTTCATGTGTGGGGCAGTATGTTCTATAAATGCCAAAAGGTAGGAGAAGCACAAACACAACCCACTCTTTAAAAAAAACTAAATAGTTCAAAGAATTTTCCATCCCCCACCCCTTACTCCCATAATAAAAAGTAGTGCTGGGGTCTGACACCCAGATTTGGTTTTTATCCTGGCCATTTACAAAGTGTTTGCCCATCTGAATTGCATCATTAGGGTTATGGATAAAAGTTCATTCACTTTGAAGAGAGGTGTATCTACTCCTTCCTCCTCTTCTTGCCTTCATGCTCATGTTCCTTGGGGCAGCTGCTATCTGAGGGTCTTTTAGAGCCACCGTGCTGTTTGGCTTCTTCCAAAAACTTGTCCAAACCAAAAGGATCTTCCTCAAACTGAACAGGTCCTTCTCGGCCTCTTTGCCTACGGTCTGAACCAGAAAACTCTTTATCGGGAACAAATCTGTTGGTCTTTTTTCTGGCTTCTAGGTCATCACCATACATGTGCTTGTCCAGATTTTTACTGGGCCTGTAAATACTCTGGGCCATATCTTTACCACCTCTCCAGGCTTGATCATAAATGTAAATTTCATCTTCTCCACCTGCAAAACCACTGTCCATACCCTTGGACTGGTTGAAAAGCCTTTGGTCATACTGAACTTCGTTGGACATCCGAGGATTGGGCACACCAAGAGCAATGACTTCACTGATACCTCAATTTTCATTTCTCTGTGGTTACTACCTCTTATCAGGAGCTTCCCTGGAAAGATTCCTGTGTGCAGTCTCTTTTCTCCTGTCATGCCGGATTTCATCCCTCTCATGTGCCTCCCCATCCTCTTTTTCCACATGGGTTTTGATCCCAGCTCTTCTCTCCCTGGCTTTCTGGGCCATTTCTCTAAGTTTCTCTTCATGTTTCTCCTTTTCTTTTTGAGCCATCTTTCTCTCTACTTGAGCACACATTTCTACAACTTCACGAGCCTTCCGATCAACAATATAGAGGGCTTCGGCCAGCTTGGCGAAGTTCTCATTGATGTGAACTGTCTGCAGGCCTCTTCCATCAGCAGCAAGACGTTTGTCTAATGGAATTGTATACCCCTTTGCATTTTTCCAGTTTGAAATACAAGGGGGGATCTTCCACCCTTGTTGCTCCTTCACGGTCATCTTTCAGCTAGGAGAATGCATGACAGGTGCAGGAGGGGAAGGTGGTCCTCGGGGAATTTTCTTATTAATCTTGAACCTTGGAGGCTCCATTTGATCTTTCTGCATTTCCACCATCTGAATAACTCTCTGTTTAGCTCCAGAGTTGAAAGCCACTCCTTGTTGAGATGGTGTGTATCGAATATATTGAGCGGGAGCCAGTTTATCAGCAGCTTGAACTGGCATGGCTGCAGCAACCTTCTGTGATACGGATTTTTCTAAGGCTACCCTTGTCTTTTCTGTTATCTCTTTAATGGCTTCTTCATCAGGTCTTTGCAGGTCTGGGTCCTCTGCATTCATAACTTCCTTGGGAACCAGGTCAGTATACTTGCTAGAAATGACCTTGTCTCTTGACTGTCCTTGCCGAGCAATTGCATCATATTTAATTTTTCCTTCAGCATCCACCTGAATGGCCAGTGCATTTGACATTTTTTTCTTTTGCCCCATATCCAGTGGATACTGGGCCACATGGATCTCTGGAAAACACCTCCACCTCCCAAATCCTCTAATAACCGAGGTGCCCAGCCTTTCCGGTACCCATATGGGGGAGGTTCTCTTCGGGAGGAGACCAGTGAGGTCTGTCATGATCTCTGGGATCTTGCCTTTTCTTCAGCCTCAAGCTGGTCCTGAGATAGCTGAGTAGGTGCACGTAAAAAGCTGGTGAGTGCCATCTTCTTCCGCTTCTTCCGAGGGTTTTTATCTTGAATGGATGTTGCTCTGTCAAATGCTTTTTCTGCATCTACTTTAAATAATCACATATTTCTTATCTTTTTTCTTATTGATGTGATGTGTAACATTGATTGATTTGTGAATATAGAACAACCCTTGCAAACCAGGAATAAATCCCATTTGGTTGTGGTGAATGAATTTTTTAGTGAATTGTTGGATTTGGTTTACTAGTATTTTTTGAGGATTTTTGCATCTATGTTCATCAGGGATATTGGCTTGTGGTTCTCTTTTTTATTGGTGTATTTGTCTGGTTCTGGCATCAGGATAATGCTGGCCTCATAGAATGAATTTGGAAGTTTTCCTTCCTTTTCTATTTTTTTGTAATAGCTTGAGAAGAATGGATATTAAGTCTTCTTTAAATATTTGGTAGAATTTGCCTATGAAGCTATCTGGTCCTGGACTTTTGTTTGTTGGGACTTTTGCGTTTTGATTACTGATTCAATTTACTCGCTGGTTATCAATCTATTCAAATTTTCTATTTCTTCTGATCAATTTTGGCAGTTTATATGTTTCTAGGAATTTATCCATTTCTTCTAGGTTGTCTAATTTGTTGGCATATAATTTTACATAATATTCTCTTATAATTGTTTATATTTCTGTGGTGTCAATTGTTATTTATCCTCTCTCATTTGTGATTTTATTTGGGTTTTTCTCTTTTTGATAATTCTGGCTAGAGTTTATCAATTTTATTAATTTTTTTCAACAAACCAGCTCCTGGTTTCATTGATCTATTCTATTGTTTGTTTAGTTTTTAAATGATTTATTTCTGCTTTAATCTTTATTATTTCCTTTCTTCTGCTGGCTTTAGGCTTCACTTGTTCTTTTTCTAGCTCTTTTACATGTCAGGTGAGGTTGTTTGAGGTTTTTTTTGCTTCTTGAGATAAACCTATATTGCTATAAACTTCCCTCCTACAACTGCTTTTGCTGCATCCCAGAGGCTTTTGGACCATTGCATTTTCATTTTCATTTGTTTCCATGTAGTTTTTGATTTCTTCCTTTATTTTATAGTTGACCCATAAATTGTTTAATAGCATTTATTTAACTTCCATATATTTGTGGCCTTTCTAGATTTTTTTCTTGTGGTTAACTTCTAGTTTCATAGTATTATGATCAGAAAAGATGCATGGTATGATTTCACTCTTTTTGAATTTGTTGAGGCTTGTCCAATGGGCTAATATGTGATCTCTTCTGGAGAATGTTCCATGTGCACTTGAAAAGAATGTGTATTCTGCTGTTTTAGGATGGAATGTTCTGAATACATCTGTTAAACCCATCTTTTCCAGTGCATCATTCAAAGTTATTTTTCCTTGTTGATTTTCTGTTTAGATGATCTGTCCATTGATGTAAATGGGGTGTTAAAGTCCCTTACTATTATTGTATTATTATCAATTAGTTCCTTTCTATTGATATGAACTGTTTTCTGTATTTGGGTTATTTTATGTTGGGTGCATAAATATTTATAATTGTTATATCTTCTTATTGGATTTTCCCCTTTATTATTATATATTGTCCTTCTTTGTCTCTTGTTACAGTCTTTGTTTTAATGTTTATTTTGTCCAATATAAATATTGCTACTCTGGCTTTCTTTTGACATCCATTTGTGTGATAGATGTTTCTCCATCTCCACACTTTCAATCTCAGATGTGCTTCTTCTCTATATTGAGTTGTAGAGTTTGTTCTGCCAGTCTTCAGATCATTCACCAGTTTATTGACTTGGATGTGAATGGTTTCAATTTGTAAACGGAGGCCATGGAGCGCTCATGGTCCTCCTACCCCACCTTCTTCCCCCAGACCAGTCCCAGTTTTGGTGAGCCTTTGATGCTGACATTTAAGTTGAGTGGTATTCTTCCTCTTCCAGTTCTCTTTTATTGTAGTGTCCTTGTCTGGCTTTGGTATCAACAGGGTAATGGTGACTTCATAAAATAAGTTTGGAATATCCCTTCCTTTTTTTTTATTATAGTGTGCAAAAAATTTATATTAGTTTTTCTTTAAATATTTAGTGGAATTTTACCAGCATAACCATCTGGTCCTGGAATTTCTTTGGGTGCTCTTGTGCCCATTAAGGACTGCTTCTTTATCTGCTACAGTCCTGTGTGATTTATGAATGCAAGCCCCATTGGTTATTAGAGCCAGGTTCTCTGGGGTCCTCAGACAGGAGCCATAAAAGCTGAAAACCATAAATGTATGCAAGCTCTTCCAGGGAGTTATTGGTATCTTGGTGTGAAGCAGAGGGAGAAGCTGGAGATGTCTACCATTTTTCCCAGTCTCTTGGGAAAATTATAGCTAGTCCCTAAATATGTGCTAAATTAGAAGTCTGACCCTCAAACCATAGCTTTTAAAGTATGTAGCTGGACTCCTTTCAGACAAAAACAGAGATAGTCAGGCTTTGTTCCCTATACACTGAGGCCTGCGGGAATAGCTGCTACAAGTGCTCATGTGCTTGTTAGCAACTGCTATATGTTTGCTGTAATCATGTGGGTCTCCTGGATGCAAGCCTCATTGGTTTTCAGAGCTGGGTGTATTGGGGGACACATCCCTTAGGGGAAGTCTTAAAAGTTGGGGCACTAGATGTATGATCCAAACCCTTTGCTGCTTAGAGAGAAGCTGGGAGTTGGGGGGAGGGGGTTCTCTCCCAATTGTATGTCACTGTGCTGGAGGTGTTTTTATGGTGGGAGTGCCTCAGCTTTTCCAACCCACTTCGATGTGACTGTATTCTCACTTACCCAGTGTTTAGGGGTTGTTCAACTACTTTTTGGATTTTATTCAGTGGTAATTGCTTCATGTATAGCTGTACATTCAATATACCTATGGTTGAAGGCTAGTTCAGGAACCTCTTATATTGCTATCTTGGTCCATTCCCAACTGTAATTTTGATTTTTAATTTAAATACAAGTGTCAGAGACTTGTTTTCATCCTATTAAAATAACTAGTACTAAAGTTGGCCCTTTTTCATAAGCTACTAAAAAATTGGGCAAAATAGGGCGCCTGGGTGGCTCAGTCATTAAGCGTCTGCCTTCCACTCAGGTCATGATCCCAGGGTCCTGGGATCGAGTCCCACATTGGGCTCCCTGCTTGGCGGGAAGCCTGCTTCTCCCTCTCCCACTCCCCCTGCTTGTGTTCCTGCTCTTGCTATCTCTCTCTCTGTCAAATAAATAAATAAAAATCTTTAAAAAAAATTGGGCAAAATATAAAACAAAACAAGTACTTTCATGCACTGGACCACAGGAACTCTGATTCTGAGAAAGGGGAAACATATGATGAGAGTCCTATAATTTCCCTGGCTGATTTCTGAGGTGATTTCCCTGGCAGTAATGTATCTAGGAAGTCGATGCAAAGTATAACAGTCTAGCTAAGTTGAAGCGTCAGAGATTAGAATTCAGGAAGTCTTCTGGATGAAAATTGTGGACAGGAATGGGAGTACTATAGAAAGAATGGACTGCACAGAAAAAGAGCTCCAGAAATCTGCATGAAAGTATTGTCATTATTAGTTTGGTCTGCTATAACAAAAATACCATAGATTGAGTGGCTAAAACAATAGACCTTAATTTCTTGCAGTAGTGGAGGCTAGGAAGTCCAAGATCAAGGGGCCAGACTATTTAGTTCCTCATAAGGGTAATCTTCATGATTGCAGACAGATGCCTTCTTGCTGTATCTCCATAAGTTGGAAAGGAAGATCATCTCTCTCATGTTTCTTCTTTTAAGGTTACTAATCTCATTCACCAGTGCTCTATCCTCATGACCTAATTACCTCCCAAAGGTCCCACCTCCAAATACCATTTCACTAGGAATAAGGCTTCAATATATGAATGAAACAAATATTGTCCATAGCAGGTATCTTTGAGTCTATTGCTTGAATACTAATGCATTCATGCATAGGGTAAAGTGCTATATGAGGCCAGACAGCAAATGTCAGGAATACTATAAGGTAAACATTTCCCAATGCTCACACAGAGTGTAAATGTCTTCACTGAATACTTGGGAATTCAGTAACGAACTAGGGCATTTCTTAGTAGTAAGGTTAACATAATATTAGAATCATTTAGACACATACTTAACAAAGCTTACGAAGTCTTAACAAGATCACTTTGATTTATAAATAACCAAAATGCTTTATTTAACTGTCATTAAATAAAAGAAAAAAAATTCTGTTATATGAAACAATGTAACAGTCACACTGTTAGTCTGCAATTAAAAAAAAAACTAATACATTATGAAGAAATGGGAAAATGTGACAAGAGAAAAATCAATCATTACAAATAGACACAGAAATGATAGATATGGTGGATGATTTTGAAACACCTATTATAAGTATTATCAACCTAGGGACACCCAGGTGGCTCAGTCGGTTAAGCAGCCAACTCTTGATTTCTGCTAAGGTCACACGATCTCAGTGTCATGAGATCAAGTCCTGCATTGGGCTCCATGGCCAGCTTCATATTCTCTCTCTCCCTCTCCCTCTGCCCCACCTCCCACTGCTTGTGTGCATACACACCCTCCCTCACTCGCTCTCAAAAAAAAGTGTTATCAACTTGCTCAAATATTTAAAGAAAAAAACAGTATGTGGGCAGAAATAGAAGATATAAAAAGGAAGCAAAGAAAATTCTTAAGCAGAAAACTATAGTATAGGAAATCTAGAAGTTACTGAATGAGAATAACAACTGATTAGATCCTGTTGAAGAAAACATTAGTGAACTTAATGACATGGTGATCAAAAATAACTAGCATAAATTCAAAGAGAAAAGTGCAGGCAAAAGAAAAAAATGAACAGTATTTCAGTGAATTGTGAATCAATATAAAGTAGTCAAATATATATTCAATCTGTGTTGACCTCAGGTAGGCTAAAAATACATTTAAGAAAATGTTTAACAATTTCCCAATTTGATAAAACTTATAAAAATCTTAAATTCTTAGGAAAAGCACATATAAAATTGGATGGCACATAA